TGCTCATCATTAGTTAAATGGCGCTAATAATGACTATTTGCACATCACATAGCAATTCTAAAATAACTTATGAAGTCTTGTTTAGTTAAAGGGATACTACACCTAGAAATCAGGGTATATTATGATAGTAAGTGAATAAATAATAGTATATACTATAAATTTATGTAATCATGCATTCACATTTGTTATAAAAACAACTGAGTTTTAAAGTCTTTATTTTTGGCTGCTGACATTACACCCTATGATTTGTGCTGCCACCCTGACAAAGTTCAGTGGTTGTCCGATGGCTGTATGTTCATTGCAACGGGGCTGAAATCACAAAAGTGCAATTATATTTATACCTAACTGCTATTTAACGAATGATTTTTATTTTATGACAAATTCGTCCATATTATAACTGAATCTGAAAGTTGTTTATAAAATATTGCATTCCTTCTCCTCTTAAATTAATAAATAAGAAACACCTCGATCTGTAGCCTGCAGCCGAAAAGTTGGCGTGCGCAACTTTGAAAGCAGAGGCTAGTAGTGCTTTAGGGTCTATGTCCCCTGAACTCTGTTTGACCTGGCTCGTTTAGCTATTTCTGACTAACCCTAACCCTAACCCTATATATATTATTATATTAATATATATATATATTTAGTTAGAAATAGCTAAACGAGCCAGGTCAAACAGAGGTCAGGGGGGCATAGACCTTATCTTCGCTAGTAGTGGCACCACCTTTTTCACATAGTTGTTGTAGAACAGTCGATTTATATTGATTTTAATTGAGATAATTTGCTGAATTTTTAGGCACCATGGCCTTCCAGCCAGCACTCTTGCATCTCTTCCCTATGCCACAGGCAGGAGAGATCGCTGCCAGAGAGGCAGTCAAAGAGCATCTGTGGAACATTCATTTTGCTGAATTTGGAAGGTGCAGTTCAGATATAGATAGCGCCACCATAATGCGTGAACCTATGCGTTGCGGTTATCGTCTTTTATCGTGTTGGTTTTATATAATGTTGCCAGTTAGTTTTAATGTTACTCTTATCTATGCAAGCTCGTATTCATGCTTGTGTTGATGCGCAGGGGGATAAGTAATTACCGCACCTCAAAGACATATGATCTGGTGACCAAGGGGGTACCTCAGAGCCTGAGAGGGGAACAGTGGCTTGTGTATTCAGGAGCCATTAATGAGGTATTTGCTGTTCAATCACAACTCAGTCAGTTTTTCTATGTTTTTCTGATTAATATTATTTATTATTATAATGTTTTTGCTCTTCATTTTTGATAATTGTATTATCATTACAATTTTCAATTGATGATTGATAGTGTCTTTCATGTTTAAGTCATGTGCATGAATAAATTTAATAAAAGAGCCCCTTTGAAGTCACAGGACAGTGTGAGTTCACTATTATGACGATAATGGTTTATAATTTTGTCATTTTTTAAGCTTTCCAAATCAGTAATTTCAGTAAATTTGATCCCCACAGATGGCAACACATCCTGGCTACTATGCCTCTCTAGTAGAGAAAAGTGTTGGCAAGATGTCAATAGCAAGTGACGAAATAGAACGAGATCTTCACAGGTTAAATATTTACCAATCTATGAATTTTGACATTACCTTTACAATCTATTGCTGACCTCATTTTAAAATGTGTGATGATATCATAGCCAGAGAATGTTAACCAAATTTATTTTGACCTGACCAATTCAAAATTGCCCGTTGTCTTTATGTTTACTCACCTTTTTATTATTTACTTATATTATTATAATTATTATATTTATTTACTGTTAATTTACACAGATCACTGCCAGAGCATCCAGCATTTCAGTCCGAGGTTGGAATAGGAGCCCTTCGACGGGTGTTAAGTGCATATGCGTGCCGAAACCCCAGCATAGGTGAGGCGCGTACATGTATGGTTGCACTGACATGTACGCATGCTATGTCTCCACCATGCCAGAGGCAGGAATGTATACAAAGATACCCCCGTGTGTTCTTGAATACGCCCACTCTTGTGCTGTAATCCCCCCTATCACGGTCGCATTGTGCAAAATCTCAAAAATCATATATAGACATTTTTAATATGGCTGGCTATCGAATCTGCACATCAAATATGTATCTGAATTGGTCCTGAAGGCACTTTTAACAGCTATTCCTTGCAAATCTGCTTTGCTTTGATAGGCTATTGCCAAGCCATGAACATCGTTACATCTGTGTTACTTCTCTACGCCTCTGAGGAAGAGACTTTCTGGCTGCTTGTTGCGCTATGTGAAAGACTGCTACCCGACTACTACAATACCAAGGTCATTGGAGCCATCATTGACCAAGGCTAGTACTATCAATTGGAGCAGAATTTTATATCAGATATACATTTTAATTTCTTATCTAATTATTACATTAGCATGTATTTTCAGGTATGTATTTTCTTTTAGTCTAATGGCTATTTTCATCTTGTTCAGTAGAACTGTCGGAGGAAAACACGATTTCTGTGAGGTCAGTTCTGTTGTCGATAATGTAAGCATTTGCGTAATATCACAGAACCAAGTATGAAGCTTGATTAGACTTGTTTTTTCTGAAGGTGTGCTGGAAGATCTCACGCGAGAGAATTTACCTGATCTGCATGAAAGGTTGGAGGATCTGGATGTTTTACACATGATCTCATTGTCTTGGTTTCTCACCATTTTCCTGAGGTATGTTGTTTCAATACACACTGGATTCGTTCAGGATTCGTCGTATGGACGTGTGGTACTATGTATAATGTCCAGCCCTTTTTATAATTATCTGGTAGAAAGAATGTTTCACTATACAGACAAGCCATTGGATATATCGTGTTCCTCCGTTAAATGAGGTATGATAGCATATATATATATACATGTCTCCTACCCTTTCCACTCTATCCTAACTTCTCCCAAAGCCTCCTACCCTTTCCCAATGTCTTTTTTCATTTCCCTCTGTCTGCTACCCTTTTCCTCAGTGTCCTGCTCTCTCCCCTTATCTTTTGCCCCTATCCCCCCCATCTCCTACCCGCTTCATATGTCTTCTACTCTCTCCCTTCATCTCCTGCCCTTCCCTCTCAGTTCCTTTCTCCCTTTGTCTCCTACCCACTCCATATGTCTTCTTTTCTCTCACATCATCTCCTGCATTTCTCTCTCAGTTCCTTTCTCCCTTTGTCTCTTACCTGCTTTATATGTCTTCTAATTTCTTCCTTCATCTCCTGCTCTTCCCTTTCAGTTCCTTCTCCCCTTTGTCTCCTACCCACTCCATATGTCTCCTACTCTCTCCCTTCATCTCCTGCCCTTCCCTCTCAGTTCCTTCCCCCCTTGTCTCCTACCCACTCCATATGTCTCCTACTCTCTGCCTTCACCTCCTGCCCTTCCCTCTCAGTTCCCTTCCCCTCGACCTTGGCCACGTTAACACTCGCGCCTCCGCGTCATTTCAGCACGATGCCGTTCGAGAGCGCCGTCAACATCCTCGACTGCTTCTTCTACGACGGTGCCAAGGTCATCTTCCAGATCGCGCTGACGGTGCTGGACGCGCGGCGCGACGCGCTGCTGACGTGTCGCGACGACGGCACGGCGATGACGACGCTCAGCGGCTACCTGGAGCGCGTGCACAACCGCGAGCCGACGATGCCGCACATCCTACACAGCGTGCTCGTCGGCAGCGCACCCGTCGACGTTCCCGGCGAGGTACGTGCTGCGCGCGTTATCATAGACACACGGTCTATTACTCTATACGTTATCATAGACACACGATCTATTACTCTATACGTTATCATAGACACACGATCTATTACTCTATACGTTATCATAGACACACGATCTATTACTATATACGTTAGCGGGAGTCAGGCGTCCATCATAGATACATTATCTACTTACTGTCATACGTTATATACGAACAGGCCCACAATCTATTACTGCTATACGGTAGTCAATAGACACGCGATCTATTACTCTAAGTACGTGTTATCATAGACAGCAACGCGCGTCCTATTACTGCTATAGCGTTATCATAGACACACGGTCTATTACTCCTACTACCGCTTATAACCCGACGGGAGCATCGATACTATATATGTTAGCATTCAGCTTCATCATAGAGTACATGTATCTATTACTTTATAACGCTTATCATAGTGAACACACGATCTATTACTCTAATAGCGTTATCGTAGACACAGTTCCGGAGCGATCTATTACTCTATACGTTATCATAGACAGCACCACGAGTCTATTACTATATTAGCCGCTTAGCAACAGCTCATCATAGATGACATTTATCTATTACTCCTATATACGTTATCATATGAACACACGATCTATTACCTCTATACGTTAGCATCAGCCTCCATAGATTACATTATCTATTAAATCTATACCAGGTTATCACTAGACACACGGATCTATTACGTCTATACGTTATCATAGAACTAAGCGAGATATATTAGCTGCTATATCGTTATCATGAGACACACGGTCTATTGACTCTATACGTTATCATAGATACACGTCTATTACTAAATAGCGTTATCGATAGTACCACATGATGCGTTACTATATTACGTTATCATACGAACCACGATCGAGTTACTATAATACGTTAGGGCATCAGCTTGCATCATAGAGTACATTATCCTATTACTCTGATACGTTATTCATAGACGACATCTCTCGACGGCGCGCCGGCGATATATTACTGCCTATATACGTTATCATAGACACACGATCTATTACTATATACGTTATCATAGACACACGATCGATTACTATATACGTTAGCATCAGCTCATCATAGATACATTATCTATTACTCTATACGTTATCATAGACACACGATCTATTACTCTATACGTTAGCATCAGCTCATCATAGATACATTTCTTTACGTCTATACGTTAATTATACGCACCACACGAATATTACCTCACTACGTTATCCATAGACACACCACCAACCGGTCGTCAGTTACGTATAGTACCCGTTATCAAGGAGCACATCGATCTATTTACTATATACGTGATCATCAGCTCATCATAGATACATTATCTATTACTCTATACGTGATCATCAGCTCATCAGTCGACGTCTCCGGCGAGGCACGTGCTGCGCGCTTTATCAGAACACGTTTCCATCGTGCAAATTTTCTACCTGTTCATTGCATTGGGTGATCGAGACATTTGTACATTTATTCGTCATTGATCAGCCTAGGCGGACGTAAGTATCCGGCAGGAGCCGACGTTAATAAGATGTATTATGTACGTCTCTCCTGATATTATCGTGTGTGTACACGTGTAATCCTGGTTCCATTACAAACGATAATATCAGGAGCGACGTACGTAATACGTCTATATAACATCGCTCCTGGGGATATTACGTCCTAGGCTGATCAATGACGAATAAATGTACGAATGTCTCGATCACTATGCGCAGTGAATGGAAATGTGCACGATGGAAACGTGTTCTAGATATATGTAGTTCCATTGTAGTTGAGTATCCCTTCTCCTAGCTAAATTGTCGCGAACCGAATGGTTGAATCACGTAAGTGTCTGTTATAAACTGTCATAGAATCAGTGTTACCCTTGATGACTTTGTTGTAGGAAACTACGAGAATGTACCTTAATGGGTCAGTATTAGAAGGCAGTGACATTTACAGCAGTCTTATTAGTTCCCTGAACGACTGTCAGACGTCAGAGATCAAAGTTAAATCGAGCACTGGTTGTTATCGCACGTGGTAGCGCATGCATGTTGTCTCTCGTAAACACAGTTTGAATGAGCGCATGTCGATACAAGCTGCTAGCCGTAACTGTCGCTGTCAATCACCGACAACAGCCAATGGAGTGAAAGAGGGCGGGCCAGCAGCTAAGCCCCTCCCTAACCCGGATTTGTTCTTAGTGACAACAAGTGCGGCGAAAGGCGAGTAAGAGGAGGATGAACGCGTGTTTTAGTGTCCATGCTGGCGATTGTTACAGCCGTCGGTGGACATCTCCGAGCTCATCTACAACTCGTACCTGAACTTTGGCTTCCTGCGAACGACGACGATAGAGAAGCTGCGACTGAAGCACCGTCTACGCGTCGTGCAGGGCCTAGAGGACATCACTATGCGCAACGTTGTTCGCAGTGTCGTCGGCGCCACCGCCTGGAAGAATGACGAACTACAGGAGCTGTATCTGATTTTCAAGGTATGGATCCTTTCTGGCGTTTGGATGAGGTGGTGTTATAGGTGTATCTGATTTTCAAGGTCTGGCTTAATCCATCTTTCACGTTGTCCGTTTTTTTTCTACATGAGTGTTTTATTGTGTTATAAGTCGGTGTATTGGTTGTGCGGTTTGTGCTCAACATCAACATAAACATATACACGCTCGCACGCACGCATGCACATCTGTGCATACACGCGCATGCACGCACGCATGCATGCACACACATACTAGCACGCTTGTATACTATGTATACACATATGAATATGTTCGTGGTGTTAGTGAACTGTTCAATGTTAATATGCAATATTAAACTAGCCTTGAACTTAGCCTTAGCCTTAACTATTAATTTTTTTCTTTTTATTAGTATGTTAATAGGTGTTTTTCCTGACAGTAATGCCTTAAAATAATGTTGTAAATAATCAATTATACATTATAAATTATACTATGGTCTTTCTATCAAATGTTTCAGGAGGAGAGGCTGAGTGCAACTTATTACAAGACCCATCAGGGTATAGGAAATGATCCTGACAAATACGACCTGTCGCTGCCTTACTACATGCACCACAAGATCAACTTTGACCACTTCAAATTCCTGTTTCTGTGCCTTTCACCATGGGGTCAGGGGATCCATGGGGAAACACTGGCTACCAGGGCATTCAGGGTGAGAGTTGTTGGCCATGTATAGTATTAATAAGGATTAATTTAATTCAAGTAGCATGATGGTTTTAACATGTTTGTACTATGAGAGTCTAGAGTATGAAATATGGGGTATAGCATCTGAGATAGATATTGATATAGATGATATCATATGTAAATGTAGATATCTTCGTGATGATGGCAATACATCATTTTATGGATGGCATATTTTATGGATATGTGCTGCAGTTACCCATCACAAAAATACGTCAAGGCACTTAATTTAAATTTTATACCTTATTATTAAATATACTGTTAATCATCGTAAGCTTTTGATTGAACTAATATTAATTCGTAATAATACGTACTTTTGTTTCATAAGAACTCATTGTAATATATTCAGCTGTTTGTGCTAATCAGGAAAGCTGGAATGAGTTTTAGTACCTTGCTGTAGGCATACGTGTGTCTACGATATCCTGTTTCTGAATCTTTGCAGCTTTACGACCGCAACGCTGATGGCTTGATCAACTTCAAGGAGTTTGTTGACTGCTTGGCTGCTATGTGTCGTGCTGAACTGCCTGATAGGGCGCAGCTGTTCTATCGAATGCACCAGCCCCCGGCGCTGCTACCAGGGGACCTGGACAGTCCCACATCTGGTACCTCCATATATAAATTCGTCAAAGCATCTCATAGGACCAAACCAAGCAGATGCTTATGATAGAGAAAGTAGTTGGAATGACTTTTGAATTTTATAGTTTAAAAATAGAGAATTTTCGTAATGGCTTGACCTCTCATATATACTGGATTACAATTTCCTTACATTGAAAAAATACCAAGTCAGATAACTGAATAAATTTCCTGCTATGTGCAATAATTATACACATATTTATAACACGTGACCATGAACTGAGTAATATATACACATGTGTATGTATATATATAGTATAAGTTTACAAATATGTTCATGAAAGGACATATAAGGCTGTAAGTGTTCAAACCATCATCTCTACACTGCAGATGGCGCTGAGGTTGCATCCGAGGCGACGGATTTCTTTGAATGTGCTGCGCTGCGACCGCCGAAGGAAAGGTCGATTAGTGAGACGATTACTGAGCGTGAGGATTCCCCCATGATTCTGCTCGACACTGACGACTCCAGCCAGGAAACAGGCAAAAGTACGCTTCACTGTTTAAATGCAGTGCAGTCAGGAGTTTCTGCTTATTTTTGCAAGACAAAATGATTGAATGTGTAATGACATTATTAATTAATTACAGAGTTGTATTCTGTAGCGAGGACAGGTATCGTACGATGATAGCGCTGAATGTTATCAGCTCATTGGTATTCGCGTATGGTTATTGTATTAAATATACTTCCTAATTAAATCAAATGCTGTACTGTTTGATGAGATGACGAGAGTAGTTGTAGCCCATAAACAGCTACTACACATAATGAAAAGCTTAAGTCAATATCATCATTTCTCTTAACAAAGTGTTATATATTCACTGTTGGGTTTTGCTAATATTTCCAATATTACATAAGTGTGTGTAATTTTTACTAATTCAAAATGTTCTGCAGGCTCCGAAGTAGACATTCTTGAGAAATACCGCACAAAGAAGACTAACCTTCCTCGAAGTGATAGCAAAGAAGCTATGAAGATTCTTCCTAAGATGTCCCAGGTATTATAGTCGGCAGGGTTACATTTTACGTAAAGTTTTATATTTGAGTTGCTGCTGATACGTTTTGTCTAGTCTGGTAGATCTTCTACTGCAAGCTGGGGATTAGTGATTTGGTTTGGTTTTGCACTATTGCCATGTACTTGCACATCACCAACCGTGTGAGATGTGTATCTGTATAGATTATTGTATAATTTCTGGGGCACTAATGTAATCTAACACATGGTGCCATCATGTGTTGGCTAAAATAGCAATCATGCAGAATTCCCGTATGTGCCATTACTGTAGCGGAAGATGATTCGTTGGTAGCTTATTTATTCGCAACGCTCAACCCAAAATGGATTACGTAGTGCGCATTAAAAAATTCTCGTCACACTCGGACAATGCGGGGCGACGAGTCGCCGTTCGACTATCGTCAAGTTCGTACTCGATGTTCACCTGCAGGAACAGTTCATCCAGCTGTGGAAGTCGCTGTACGATCTGTTCGTCGACGATCCGTGCGAGCAAGAGCTCTACCAAGCGATAGCGACGCTGGGCACGCTGCTGCTGCAGATCGGAGAGGTCGGCAAACAGTTTCTACACAGAGAGGCCGACGACGGTGAGCTGGGCGAACCTTCCTCGCGTTTTTAACATCAGCAAGGTGTAAGCCAGAATGGCAGATTTTACGCAGTTTAGAGAAGAAAAAAAAAACTTAAAGTACCGACACTGCGTCTTTTCTCATTGTTCTCAATTGTATGCAATTTAAAGCGACACAATTGAAGGTGAAATTTCTGTTACGAATAGTGTCAACCATTAGTACACTCTACGTATTATTACCCTATTCGTATCATTTTTATTATTATCATTATTGTTATTATTATTATTGTTGTTGCTGTTGTTGTTATTATTGTTATTATCATTATTATTATTATTGTTATTGTTATTACAGTTGCACACTCATACTAATCTTCCTTTCCATGCAGATGAGATCGGTAAGCCCATTGCTGAGGACCAGGAGGCTGTCATGGCTGCTCTGGCGGATGCCGCTACGGAGTCTGACAAAGCTACGCAGGATGAGTGTGAGTCAAGCGGCGGCCAGGGCTCACCGCAGCACACGCAGGAGGAATCGCACGACGGCGCGCAGAAGTCAGACGACCTTCCCGGCGTCATCGCGGACGCAGAGGTGGTGCCAGCTAGCAGCCCGGCGTCGCCACCAAAGTCGAGCGGCAAGACGCTGGACGTGGCTGGCCACGGCGACGGTGGTTCGAGGCCGGACGACGGCTGGTCGATAACGTTCGAGCAGTTCCTCGCCTCACTGCTCACCGAGGATCCGCTGTGCGCGTTCTTCGAGCAGCAGACTGACATCGTCGCCGCCATCGAGAGGCTGAGGGAGAAGCGGCTTGACCGGCAGGGCAGCGGGCCGACCGGCTCGCTGACCGGTGCAGCATCGACCCCGCCGTACGTGTAGCGCGGGAGACGGGAGGAGAGAGGGGGTTGCCGCACGGGCACGGCTTCCCCAGTGTGGCGACCGCGCGTGGCTCCTGCAGTCACTCCGCTGTGCGCGTGTGTGCAGCTGTGCTTACTCATGTGAGCCTGCCGTGTAGCTAGGTGTGTGTGCATGATAGCTACACCGTGTAGCTAGGTGTGTGTGCATGATAGCTACACCGTGTAGCTAGGTGTGTGTGCATGATAGCTACACCGTGTAGCTGTGTGTGTGTGAGCGTGATAGCTACACCGTGTAACTGTGTACGTAAGCGGATAGCTGCGCTGAAGTAAGGAAATTGTGGTGGTTGTTAGGTTTGCATGGTGAATGGATGTGGGCAAAATTTTTCTGGAGACGAGTCTGATGTCATTGTGACTGGTATGGTGTCGAGAAGGTGTAAAATATCATCTTTTTCATCGTGAAAGTTCCTACATACTCCGTTTTGAGGGCCCAAGTTCAGTTATGTCGGGTCAGTGTCTCTTATTATGTTGGTTGGTTCTCATTAATATGAAATCTATTCAGTCTGGTCACATACTGTTTTTCTTCGTCTCCTCGTGGTTTTGTGCGGTCGCAGTGGGTGCTCTGCACGAACTCACAAGAATGTCTAAAGAATCCAGTCAAAGTATTGGCTACTGTTCAGCAGAGCCAATCTCTTATAACCATAACCGATCGATAGGTTATTCACCACATACCTCTATACCTATATTTACTCATTCGTTTGTGCTAAGATTTTAACACAAGACTATTATATGTCAAGTTTTATCATGTAAGATAGTAATTTTAGCATATCAGACATTTCAATTAGATATTTTCTGCTTTATACCGTGTTCACACATATAATCAAACAATTGGACATAATTATTGCGTTCAAAGCTGATGGGAATGAGAATGTGATGACGTTTCAAAGCAGGATGTCTATGCTGGAGTCTGGAGAAGACATCAATAAACAAGAATCTAAAAACCTGTACATATTCCCGTGTACATTAAAAACATAGAACTAGCCATCTTTACAGTATATGTTCATTGTGTGTTTACATGCTGGCGTAACGTGACAAAGTTATTGACATCTTATTCATCACTCATTTGTATCATTGGTGTTTATATTTGGTATCCTTTCAATGCATTTACGTTAGCATGTCTTGAATTAAGTACATTTCTCAAGAATTTGTGTTTGTAATAGTAGCTGTGACTTAAGGCAGTAATTGCATAAAGTTAAGCTTGCCAAAAAAAGAATTTCTCTCAGTATTACCTAGGGGTATAACAAACATATAAATAAATATATAAACAACTACGAATACCTATACTAATTTTGTTCTTAACGTTTATAGAGCTAAACGAAGAAACTGTGGTAATGGAACTGGGTAAACAGAAAGGCAAGTACAAGTGTATTGAGAATCAAGGATCGAGGAAGATAATGTAAATAAACTCATCAGTTGTAACTAATTCAATAATTGTGCAATTGTGTTTAGGGTTTCTTATTTTGGTTCACTTCTATAATTGTAAAGTTATATCACCGTGTCATTTGTCTAGGTAACTCGGAAAACAAATCAAGGAAAATCTTATCACACCAATAGTTTGTTATCAACAAACACGAATACCATGAAACTAAAACGACAATAAAAATGTGAATTCACACGTTTTTATCGACGTTTAAAATATCTACACATATAGCATACTATACATAGACTTTAAACATCTTGTGTAAAGCTCTAAATGTAAGTACTGGTAAAGTAAAACTATTTATTTATAAATACAATGCGGCATACCAATTCAAATATAAAAAGCATGATGGCAGACTCCAATGTTTTTATTCTCAGAAACAAATGATACAACAAGCATTTGGTTTTCATAGCTTTTCGGTCAATATATTTATGCATAAAGAATGCAATTTAATTTATCTTGATTGATTTTTCGATTCAATAAATACATAAGTGAATCATTCATACACCTTTCACAAAAACCAATTCAAAATACAATAACCGTGCACAGTAAACGACAACAGAATATTTACACCATAACTTACATGCACTGAACGTGGCTGATATAAAGACATGTCATTACACAGTTATCTAAAGCGTAACGTGATCATGCTAAACCAGTGGCAAATACACAATTAATGCAGGTAGGCAATTACGCAAAGTTTACAGAACTGCCAGAAAATATAGCAAATACTCAAGATTTTTATAACAAGGTCGTCAGATTGGGGACCTGGCAGTTATAAGGCCGCTATGAATTAGTTACAAATTTTACCTCTGATTAACTGGACATTGAAATATATATAATATTATATGCTATGTACATTATACATAAGTTTATGGTCCAGTACTAAGTAGAGTGGATATATATATATATTGCATATACTGGAATATATAAATGAATGTAGAAGACAACTGTATGAAACTGAACGGTACTTGCCAGATATTTAACACTATAATGAGATTAGAATCTTGTAAAATTACACACAGACATTGCCCTTTTGGAGAGCTATGTTTACTCCTCTTGTAGAAGTTGACCTTGTGACATTACAAGATACACCGAATCTCCATCATGAAATGTCCAGCCGTAAGATTTCAGTAACCTTCACAGATGCACATCAAGCTTACAATCCACGAGGCCATTGGTTTCGGACCCTGCTCCAAAAAAAAACCCGAATGGCTAAAACTCACCGACGACTCCCCGATGCGCTACCTACGATAGATGAGCATGAGAGGCAGACGACTACTGATGGACATTCGCCGACTACCCAGACGTGCAACTTACGACCGACAAGCACGAGGGTCGCATGCCCCCCAATAGACATTCGCTGACGACTCCACTGACATGCAACCACTGAAAGACACGCACGAGAGTCGCCCGCCCACCGATCGACACTCTCCAGCGCTCAGTACACGTGGAACGCCTGCGAGCGTGGGGTGAAGCACGCCTTGACGTTGTTCAGTGAGCCGCCGGCCGTTACATAGGCCCAGCCGCCCATCAGCAGCATGACGACGTAGGCCGGGACGAGGCTGGCCGCATACAGCTCCCGCACGTTGAGCAGGCTCTGCAACGCGCACGGACGAACACAACGTAACCACGTGTACACCACGATTCCATCTCCGATGCATACACACACATCCCCCTTATGGCAAACATCCTCTGCATTTTACATTGCAATTTACACACGTGGATTTGACCTTTATTGCCCTTGAAAAACGAACATAAATACACGATTCCATCTCCCACGCATAGGGCCCTACATCCCACTACGGCAAACCTCTTTCCCTTTTTACATTGCAATTTACACATGGGAATTTGACCTTTAATGCCCTTGAAAAATGAAGAGGGAACATTTGCCATAGGGAGGGATGTATACCATCAGAAGTAGATAATAGGGAATACTGCTACCATGCTACACCAGCATAGTGGTTTAGGCCCGAGATGCAAAATTTAATATGAGAACACTAAAAGTTTATTTTATTTAAATAACTTTTTAAACCGATGAATGAGAGAATGCTTCTTCAGACTCATCATTGAAGCCATTTTCAGAACTTAAGACATCGCTATATATGCTCATTTTTCTTTCTTTATGTTAGTAGCAGTTGCCAGTTAATTACATTATGATTATTTTATTTTTTTATTGCCACCAACTAAAAATGTATCATAGTTCTTCATTACGTTTCAAAATATTACTTGATCCATGTATTTGATAAAATTATCCATGTTCACATTCCACTATTTCAGTTTTTATTGTTAGTACTTACCAAACAGGATATTAGCATATGGCTGCCAATAACTACACCTACTCCAATGTAATTCTTTGTGTCGAGGGAATGGAAGAATATCACTCCCCAAAACGTATGAAGAAACACAAAGCACAGTGTCATAAAAGCTGCAAAGACATAACAAACAATCTTAAGTGCCCCTTCAATTATTTCCCATTGACAAAATGAGACAATTCTGTCCTGGGTTGGCAGTCAAACATTTTTTTGTCATTCATAATAAAAAAAACTTTAGTTAGGAAAGATATTGCACTTCGTGGAAATTACACCATGTTGTTGTGCATACACCAATTTTGCTCCAACCATATTCATCGATTTCTTATCATCAATATATAACGCAGAGAGCATGGCAAACCTGAAGTAATGAAGAAGAGATCTGACTGGCCTTGTATGCCAACTGTGCCAGGACCGCTCGAATCAGCAAGAACATTCACCAATGAAAATGCTCCACTCATCAGGCCAAATCCCAAGCCAGCAACTACAATCCAATAACACGTATTATTATTTACATATATTAAAATGTAGTTGTATCGATTTATTGTTTATACGTATTACTATTAGCAGAAGTGAATAATCATAGATCTATTATTATTCACTCCTGATGTTAGTGTAGCAGATGAGCCTATATATATATACATCAGGAGTAGAAATCAACTTTTGAACAAGCGAGTCCAACGGACTCCCTACCTGGCCTACCATCAAAAAGAGGGAGTCGACAGCAAAATGAGGGAGTCCACAGTATACAAGTAGGACCGCAGATATTAACAAAAAGGACATTTGCGGTGCACGTCTGCAAAATTTCCTTGGGTAATTTGCTAAAAAATAAGGTAATTCCGCGAGGCCGTGCTATGGAACGAACTAGTTAATAGCCTATAGCAGAATTTTCAGGGAGTCCGGCAGTAAATCGGGGAGTATTTGACTCCGAACTCCCTGAATTTAATTTTTTTTAAAGTTAACTTTGCACCCCGATACATATATGTAATATAATATATATAATATATAATATATATATATATATATTTATATATTATATATAATACGCTACACTATTCTTTACCACTCAATGAATGCATTTCACATCATGAACAACAATAAGCAGAACTTCATACCATATATAACACGTGCACATCCTTTTACAATAGACTACAACTTGCCAGACAAGCAGTGGTAACTTCACCTTGTTTGTGACACAAACGATCACTGTGCAATTTTGCACTGTCCTTTAATTACTGGTGGAAAAGCTTAGCTTATCATCCACAAAAACCTGAATGTGCTCGTTTTGTTAGCATGCATACTTCAATAAAGGTAATCAAAAGTAACCACTCAATGGAGAAACACACTGAAATCTAATTTGGATACACATACCATAAGCAATCGAGTGTTTAGTGATAACATCATGTATGACTCCAGCTCCAGTCTCGAAATCACTTACTTTCTTCAGTCCTGACTCTGCTTTTCTGCACAATGTAGCAACACAGCGACATTTTTAGTTAATTAAAAGACAACATACTTTTATTTTATTCTTAATTATTTGACTAGTCTACATTTTATGAGGAAGAGTTTAATACAATCAGGAATTATGCAAGTTGTCTGATACCGACGTTACAACACGAGTTAAAATTCAATATATGACTAAAATCCACTTCTAACTCCGACAATCATCTATGCATGCTTCCTTTGGAGAAAACTTTCAAGTAAATTGTTGTAATTAGGTAAAAAAGAAGAAGTCGTTTTTGCTTAAAAAATGACCATACCAACATACCTGAGTATATAATAATAACCAAATCTAAACAACTCTTGGAAAATTACACTGAAGACTAGTCCGAAGGCCAGTTCCTCTCGTAACGGGACCACTGCGTACCACAATATCGACGACAGAAGTAAGGACATCAACCAGAAAAATGCCCTGCACAAAGCACCGAGAGAAATAAATGCACGAAAATATCACCATACGTGTACCAGTACCGGTACGGTGATTAATTGTGATCACATTAAATTCAATACAATTCAAGAAGTTTGGGACACATGTACATTTTAAAAATGAGGATACATGGTAACAAAAAACGTTTCTGAAATTAAGACCAAATTTCCGAATGCGACCAACGTACGTAACATTCCAATGGTTTCATACTCACCCTGCAATCAGAATTATTATGCGAAGGGGGTCGCCAGATATTGTAAAGATAAACAGTGCCAATGGAGGGCCAAAACCAATAAACGTGCATCCAAAAAATTCCATAAGTGTCATTCTCGCAGTTGGGGAAAATCACGTTCTTTTTCTTAAAGGCAGTTCCTGTAGACCTGTAAACAGACATGCACACACTTATATATTACCCCATGAACATGTTTATACTCGTATAATGTGTGTATTTTACATTGTATATCTTACATGTATATATATACAAATATAAATATGTTTATGGTTACGTGCAATACGTGGTATGATGTATATGCATTTAATATATCACTATTAGAATAAAAGACACAAGGGTAAACAATCCTATGAGCAAATAAGCTCATAAATGATGTGCAAAACAAGCAACATTAGATCGGCTACTGAAGCATCGTTGTTGTAAGGCATATCACCTCAAACACACCGACGTTCAAATATCGAAAAATCAAGAAAAACCCATATTTTTGGTAGATACTAATCTCCAAGACCATGAGGAAGTAACTTGTGTATTTTCATAGCTCGACGTACGAAAATGAGGCCAGTGGCGCTCTGGGATTTAAAATCGCAGTTTTTCCCATATTACAATATTCTTCGCTAGGCTGGTGGTGCCCCTATACGCAAGATTTCGAACTATTATAAATTAGATGTCATACAGCATAAGGCTGCAAGATGGATATCTAAAACTACAGGTACACCACCGATTTTCCAGACACTGATGGTCCGGAACCTCTTTTAGTCCGGATAAAATTCATTTGAAATTCCTATTAGTTTACCGGGTGGCCACAGATGGCGGTGTGGGCATTGTGGGGGGCGCACTTTCCTTTTAAGGCTCTCCATTTGGCCTTTCTTGCGTAACACCGGCTTTTCCTCTGAAGCTGCTGTCTTTGGTGGTTCTTAATGGCATTGCGCCTCTGCTCTTCCTGTTCCAGGTACTTGGCGGACCGGCTTCCGGAAACGAGTGCGGCGGCTGCGGCCCCGACGAACTCGAACCCGTTGCCCAGGCGACGCCTCTGTTGAGATGAATAATTTGCCCGTGAATGCGCCCGTAGACGTTTCGCGGCCAGGTCTTGCACTTGGGATTCGACGTCTGGTACGATTTGTTGATGGCTTCCATTTTCTGAGTGCTCGTGTTGAAACGGGTTTTTTTGAGCGTCGGCCTGCTGAAGCGATCAGCGATCCACCCTTCCAGGAGCGCGGCGTCTGCTGCGGTCGGTGCGAGTCCCTCGGGCAGGTAACTCGTGTCCCAACGGCTCTGCCTGCCACAAACAAGCGGCATGTGGCATCGGCGTCCACAATTCGCTGTATAGCAGTGCGCGATGGCTTCGTGAACGTGGGCGGGTTGTGGCTGTAATTTGCTGTAGCTCCCTCGCGACGCTCTGTACGCCGCCTGAAATTCTGCCTCGCATCGTCGCCTCAGTACGTGTGCGACTCGCCGTTTCGCTCTTTCTCGCTCTTCTTTGGTTTTACCAGGGAACATTTGGGAGCTGAAGTTAAGTTTTACGAATGACTTTCGCCAATTTTCATTCAGGTGTCTCGCGTCCAATAGACACTCTACTTTTTCAGATCCGGCAGCTTCCTGCAGACCGAGTGCGGCCTTGCTGTTGCCGTCTGTCGTCATGATGCTAATATGCAGCGGATCCGCGTCCTTGCCGATATCTCGCATGATCCGTCACGGAGAGCGCTTCTCGTCTCCGATGTTTCGTCGCGACGCAAGTTTGCGGAACAGTGGCCGGGGTGATTTGGGCACGTCACGTTTTTGCCGGACGCTCGTAGGTGAGCAGCTTTTTTGCATAGTTTGTTGGAGAACGACGATCAGTTTTTCGTTGCTCAAGTTCTCAGTCACCGTGTAGACGCACTGCAAAGCCGGTTGGAAGGGCGTCCGACCTGCACCGGCCCACAGCGGATTATTGTACCTGCTGTCCCCTTCAACTCGTATGGGGCGTCGGGCGAGAGGCCGCGCACCTCATTCCATGCTCTTACGCGACCTCGTACCAAGCCCATGTCCTTCTTGTTTAGCTCGGCTATTGCCGTGCCAACCTTGTTCGCATTTTCTTGCATGCTCGACTCGCCAGGCGGAGGCACGTTCATCGTTCCGAAAATGCGCCGCATGCCTGCACAGCCGAGTTCCGTCGACATGAGGCCGACGTGCATGCCGACGTTTGGCGCTGCGGTTCTTCGTCCCCTGCCCGACGATGGCACTTCGTCGTAAAGTTTGTGCTTTGGCGACTTGTACGAGCACGCTTCGCACGTCAGCGCCTCACACCAGACTGCTCCTCTCTGCTCCTGTGCATCTTCGTCCCACGCGAGGTCTCCGTCGCATGCCGGACTGTGGCCCACCGGCTCGGAGGGCCGGTGTTTTGCCAATGTTACTGGCCCTCCAAATAATTTGCCGTTGTTTTGCCAATGTTACTGGCCCTCCAAATAATTTGCCGTGATATGCCGGTGCTAATTTCGCGCCCTGATATATAAATATGCCCTAATATACTATATATATTAGTGTAAGCATGCAACAGTGGAGCCGCGAGAGCAATGGCGGCTGGCAGCGTAGGATTTTGGTAGCGTTGCACGTAGGATTTGGACGGAATTTACAGGAAACTGTCGGCAATAATAGGTGAAAGAGAGTATAGAAACATTAAGAATTTCGTAGTAAATAGATTTCGTATTTAGTTAGCATTATATTTTATTGAAACGCTTCAAGTGCCTGTGAGTGTGAGCAAGACCGTTTCTTGGAGCTATCACAAACTAAACTAAACTTTAACGTTAGCGCGTTTTAGGCGATATCAGCGTGCGAGCTTGGCACTCGCCCGCTCGCCAATGTCGAGTGAAAATAATATCGGGCGACTCAAAGCTAAAACTGACTCGCCCGTGTTGGCGAGTAAAAAGAATTGCCTAAAGCTTTAATCAAATAATGGCTCCTTACGTTTTTTTATCAAAACATTGAATTGGTGAAAAACAGAACTTCTAGCGATGTTATCACGCCACATCCATTGTGTACATGCCGTGGTGGATGTCTACCATGTTCTGATTGAGCAGTCGCGATTCAGCTTAGCCAATCACGTACGGTATTATATAATACCAATTCGCACGCTGGCGCATCGATCGCACATGTATGCGGCGTGTGTAGGATAGCGACGGGCTGCCGCGGCTACTGACTCGCCTTGATGTAAACAAATCAATAAAACCGGCGTACATAGTAGCGTATAGTAACACATAGTAACAAATAGTAACATGTGGCGTTTCATTGATGGGGCAAAGCAACCCGAGAAGAAAAGTAAATTAAATGAAAATAAAAACACAAAGGATTACGAACAAAACAGAAAACGTAGTTTAATGAATGAAAGTGTCAATGACACTGTAGCTCACCACAAATAACGTTTTTATAATATTCAGATTTATGAACTGCCT